GCTCTGTATTACCTGAATGCAGAGTCACATTAAGGGTTTTTACTCTCATCATACAAGATCTCAGTGAATGAGTAAGTTTGTATGAGAGGGAGAGCATCGGGTGGGGGGTGGGGGGAGTGTGTGGGCTGGAGAGTCGTGAAGAGCCGGAGTCGTAAATCTCAGCACATCACCAGACGGACGGGAGGGAAAGTTGTGATAAGGATCGCTCTGATCCCCCCTCCCTTCTTAAAGTCTTCCAGCCGCCCGGCATCGTCTTCCTCTCCGGGCTCGTGAAGGTCCAGCGGATCTCTGCGAGGCTGCGGTCATGGAGTGGAACGAGGTGGATTTGGTGCAGGAGTTTACAGTTGAAGGACAATGCAGCAAAATTAAAGTCCGCTCCTGCAGGATCACATGGGACAGCCTGCAGGTAAATACAGCACCGATTTAACGCCAGCTTGTCTCATGTCCTCCAGCGTGTTGGGCAGCACGCTTCATACATGACCAAAGCAGGAGTCAGGTGGATTTTTAACTTTTTAGTGTCTGTAGGATGCATGTTGTCACTGAAAACATCACAGAGGTGGGACAGGAAATTTTAGTGGCTATAAACTTCATCAAATTTAAATCACTAAGTTATCATTTATCATATATTTTTGGTGGGATATTCCTAAAAATAAGTCTCAATAAGCTTTAAAAATGATTGGAATGGTAATAAATGATAAAATTATTCACTGAATAGATAATTAGTGCTACTTAGTCGTTGATGGAGCCAAGGTTTGCTTAGTCTTATTCATTTACCAGCAGTATTGTGTATTTTTAAATTAAATATAAAGACAATAGGCTTAAATATGCAGCATCTTCAAGTCAGTCTGAAGGAACATGTGAAAACTAAGCAATCTGAAGTAACCACTGCAGAGATTCTACTTCATGTTTTCTGCCTCTGTAGCCTAAAGTCCACATAAAATAAATGTATCAAGAAATAAATAAGAAAAGTCTGACGACAATAAAAGCTGAATCCCATTGATTTTGACTTTCCCTCTGGCTCTTAATTTGAAGCCCCACGCAGTAGTATTTAAAATATTTACTCACCCCTTTAACCCTCCTGCTGTCCTTGGGTCAAAACGACCCCTGAGGCCTTGATTTTAAGAAGCTCCTCATTAGTTTTTGAGCCTTTCTGTGTAATGCATCACCCAGACTCGTCACCAGGCTGTTTTCTTTTATTTTTAAACTAAATGTGGCCCAGATTTACTAAAAATCAGCATGTGTTGTTTTTTCTCTCCACTTTTTGGGTGATGGTGGATACAAACCAAACGATGGTTTGCATCCACCATCTGCTGCATCGTAATGTTTCCTCCCAAAGCAAATGGAAATAATTATGTAACTGCAAACAGATACATCAGTTCAGCAGGTGTGAACGATTTGCACTATTTTTGTGTCAGAACTCTGTTAATATTGCACCGTAATCTAAATATATTTTGTTCACCAAAGTTCATGCTCAGTAATCCAGGTAAAAATCCAACATTCAGTCAGGTCTTTTTTTTTTTTTTTGCTGAGACTTTTCGTCTTTCATCCAAAGGACTTCTTCAATCTGAGGAGCCGCCAAACAAACTTAGTCCCACAAGCAACACACTCCCATAATGTAAAAAAAAAAAAAAACAGTTTGCTGGTGATAAGATGGGGTCCAAACACTCTGGGGACATCTTTTTTCCACAATGGGAGTGTGTTGCTTGTGGAACTCAGTTTGTTTGGTGGCTCCTCAGATTGAAGAAGTCCTTTGGATGAAAGACGAAACATCTCAGCAAAAAAACAAACCGTCCATATGACCTGATTGAACATTGTTGGATGATATTTTTGTTACAAACACAACAGAAACAAAAGTGACAGAAAGTAAAATGTTTTGTTGGTCTTAGAAGATGGAGAACAGAGGGGCTTTTAAAACCAACATCTTATTCAAGAAGGAACCTGCACGGTATTTATACATTTATAAGACAATGTTTGCCATCTAATAATGTTAAAATGAGTCCTTGATGCCTCTTCCTGACTATGGGGTACTCCATGTTCTTGTGCTTGTGTACCTGCAGTGAACGTTGGGATGCTACGATAATATTTTCACAATATGAGCTCTGTATGTGAAGTATCTGTTAAAATATTTTATAATCATGAAGCTTTACGCTCTGAAATTAAACAGCACAAGCTGAGTTTTACACACTTTTTTTTGGGACAGTTTTGTAGATTTAAAAATATTTGACCCTCCTCACTGGAAGAGAGGATAAATTATACTTTTCCTAGCATGCCTGCTATTCCAACAGCACAGAGGATTGCACCTCTCTGTTTCTTTTAAGACGGTTACCACCAGCTCTCAGGTGGCGGTACATGTTTTACACTGGCTGTGTGTCACAAATGGTGCTGGTCTTTGAATGTCAAATGCTTTCATCCTTGCCAGTTATATACGTAGATACAGGTGGGCTTTCCTCCTTATTAATACGTGAAACCGCATTCAAATGTGAACAAACTGCACTGGTCGCTAAGGCAGCACAGTTTGAGGCGCACATCTCCCTTTGTGAGACCTTTGTGAATTTGATAAATGCACAGAAACCTAGTTTGAGCCTGAAAAGGCCACACAAACCTTTGGTAAATTTGGCCATGGATGTCTTTCATTACTCTTCATGATCATTACACAACTTTATACTGAAACAAATATTTAAATGCTGACTTCTTTGAATTTTACATTCTGAAAGCTAAACCCCTATAAATACATGAGCAACAAGGCAAAACGCAAAGATCATTGAGCTCACAGCCTCTCAGGTGGAAATTTATGTGGATAATAAATATCAGAGCTGACTTTGTGACGGGCGCTGGGCTGTTGGAAATCTGCCCTGTAGTTTGATCGTTCTGCACCGTTAGTGTTGTTGGTTTCCCTTACCCCTGGGAAGTTACCTCTTTTTTTCCCACGTGTGATCACATGAACATGTTGAAAATGTTCCAGAAATCACACGACGTTTCACACGACTCACATGTTTATTCATCAGGGGAAACACTTAAAGGTGATGTTTCTTTTCTGTAAGTGTCTGAGAGTCAGTCCAAGTAAAACAAGCACACACTGTTTTTTTTTTTTTTTTCAAGAGGGGGCCTGTTTACATGGATGGGAGGCTGCTCTTTAAAATGTGCACCAACATGAGGATGTTCAGGATCCCTCAGGTCAGCAGTTAGCTAATGGCAGGCTGTAATGTGCGTGATGTCACTGTCTAAAACATGGAGTCTGCAATGTGTAAAAACCCTCAACATCAGCGTTATGTTTGTAAGAATTACACAAGTCCTCCTGAAGGCATTAGTGCTTTCTATAGCACCACATATCAGTGTCATTAATCACTGATGCATATCGTAACAGTTTCCTCTCCGTGAGAGAAATTTTCTTATTTAAGAAATCCCAAAACACAAAGCATCTGTTCAGCATTATGGATCGTTCCCTGAGTAACGACATGAATGTCTTTGTGAGGTAAGTCAGGATTATTTTGACAGTTTTAACAAAATTCAAAATGTTTTCAAAGACATTAATTTAATTTGTTGATAGTCTCTTTGAACTAATCAGAATTTGAACAGAACAAATAAAAGTGAGCAGCATGGAGGTTTTGCATAAAGTTTTTATTGTCTGGGCCTTTTGCATTCATATAATTGATCATATGTAACTTGTGCTGGTAAAATAAGTCAGAATGAAAAATGTTTCGATATTGAGTTTTCATTATTATTAAATTCTTCATCTCAGAAGCATTGAAACTTGTTTGTAATATGTTTAAATTTGGTGATTTGTCGCCTCGCATCGAGCTAGTTTTGCTTAGAAGAGTGCCGGTTTGAAAACTTACATGTCATTGGTCCGGAGTGATGTCATTTGGATTTTCAAAGTTCAAGGTTCTTTATTGTCATTCACATCACATGTGGTACATGAGGTGGAACAAAATTGTGTACACAGGGTCCCAGTTACATCCAACGATAGCAAAAATATAAATTGTAAAATAAACAGTAGTAAGGATCTAAGATATAAACTAAGAAATACGCTTAACACTAATAGTGCAAAACAATACGCCGAACAACAGCAGCACAAACATGAGTCTGTGTGAGCAGATGAGTACAATAATTAATACAGCAGCATGAAATAATCAGCAGCATGAGATCAGCAACATGGATAATCAGCAGCACATATCACCAATCAAAATGGCATTACAGTGATTTTTTTTTCCAGTGGTATATTAATATAAAGGGGAATCCCCAAGCTTCGCAATGATGCCAAACATTATACGAAGGGATTTCCCAGTGCTACAGCAGCCAACATAGCAAAATGGTTGATTTCAAAAGAAAATTTAGAGCATAACTGGACCAAGAATTATTTCTAAAGACATACTTGTTAGAAATCTTTGATTTAAAGGTAGATTAGGAATATTGTATGCTCTTAGTTACCAGGATTGCCACATGGTGTCTTTGCAGTCTTGTTTAACGCAAATCAATGTGGCAAAAATCAGTATTGTCACTTGGCCGCAAGGCTCGCGTATTTTGATTTATACTGTTCTCGTTTACGGCCATTAACAATCAGCTGTGCGGTGTTTTTAGTTGAATTGTTTGGGTTTCTTGTGTATTTTGAATGAATGTAACACACCAGCGGAGAATAGATGTGCGTCTACGGGTGAACACAGACAATCACAGGATGTAGTTGGGCTGCAAAACCTTCAGCTCTCTCAGAGTTCCTCAAAATGTTTGTCCTGAATTAGACAAAAAAATCAGTCTGGTCGTAAAACTAACTGAAAACTGAGATTAGATTGTCTGCTGCTGAAGCTGCGGTGTGTCTGTGATGAACGGCACAGATGAAATCACCGCAGTTATTCCACAATCTAAACTATAATTCTGTCACTGTGCCGAGGCCGCCGGCTGGGAACCTCGTAACGTCGATGCAGAAGCTGCTGAGCCACCCAAAGCGTGAGGTGATACTCGTGTGTCACCAACAGTCCTGAAAACACGTTTCTTTGTGTGTTTAGGTTCCCCGCGTGGAGCTGACCCTCTCCGAGCTCCAGGAAATGGCCACAAGACAACAGCAACAAATAGAGGCTCAGCAGCAGATGTTAATCGCCAAGGTAACGCTCACAGCAGCTGGAGGGATCACCTGTCAGTTCACGGTGTCGGTGCATAAACACCCTCATTAGTATTCTGTTGTCCTGTCCCAGTGCACAGCTTTGAAATGAAACATTCAAAGTATTAATTCACAAATGAGATATTGCGATCAGTTTGGTGAGAAAACTCGTCTTTGGAGCTCTGTAGTTCAGGAGTCCCTCACAGAAACATCATCCAAAGTTGAAACGGCTCACAGAAAGTTGGACTTTGCGTTTTTGAACTGGCATTTTTCTTACCCCTGCAGTTTTAACACAATCGCAGCTTAAGTTTGATGATTTTTGGAGATTCGGCCTTGGGAGTGTCCAACTGAAAGTAAATAATATCACAACTAACTTTAGAAAATTTTCTAAACCTTCGCAATCCAAGTCTTCTTATCCCCAAAAGTTCTTTTAGTACATACACAAATCATACATTTAAAAAAAAAAGTCTATTTCTAATGTTTTCATCAAGTTTATCTCACAGATATCGTCCTTAGTTTTCACTCAAATCCCTCCAAAATACAGCATAAACCCAAACTCAGTTATTTTTATAATGGAAGTTATTATTATTATTTTTTACTTGTCATATTTTCTAGATAAAAACACTGCAAAGAACTAAACATTCAGGTTTTACTCAAGTATTTATAAGATCTGGCTCATAGTTTTCACACATCCAGTTTGTTTTTCTTAACTTTGTCAGTTTCTGTCTGTCTCTCATTAACCTCAGGGAGTGATGGACACAGTTGCGTGGTTACCGTGGTGACCATATTGAGCCGCTGGCAGCGGCTTTGACATTTCCGTTGCTCTTGGTTCTTTCTACACTTCTTATGCAGTTCATGCATCAAAATGGAGGCATTTTATTTTATACTCAGATTAACATGAAGTCATGTTTGACGTTTTTAGTAGCAGCTGCTTTTGCGCCTTTGTCATCTGTCTCTGAAAGGTTCACTTTAAAATCTAAAAAATAAAAATCCCTGCCCATGCTTCAGAAACAGGACGTGTGATCAGGTCGTGATAAGAATTATGGGAAAGACGATTCATTTCAGGGTTTTTGTTTTTAGGCACATATCAATCAGTGGTCCCCATTCTCACGTTGAGGAAATGACCTCTGAGCTGACAGGAAGTGAGGTCATCAAAAAGCTGCAGCTGCTGGGAAACTGAATCACAGCACAGAGCCAAAAAACCACCCACACACAAAAAAAAAACGTATGTCTAATTATGACTTTTATTTGGGCTGTTTTGGTTTTATCAAAGTTTTTATGTCTCTGCCGTCACATTTCTGCTGAGTTTCAGCATTTTTTTTAGAGCGGCAGTTTCCCCGCTTGAATAAAGTGACAGATTAAATGTTTCCTTCCTGCATGCTGAGTCTTTTTTTTTTTCTCAGAGGATGGAAAAGTTTTACTGCTGTGATTTTAGGGTGGATTGATGACTTCCAGAGGAGAACAACCTGAAAGGTTTTCCTCTGTTATCAAACAGGCCCTTGTTATGTAATGTGTTGTGTTTTCAGTGAATGATGTGTGGAGAAACACACACACACACACACACACACACACACACACACACACACACACA